AGCGTTTGGGGGTAACTTGATACATAACTGTTTCGGGCTTATTTGCCTTCATTCAGTCAAGCATAAACCTGACCACCAGCTGGGTCGCACAAAACTAACAAGACTAGGAGGTGAGCAAATTAGGTAGCATCTGAAAAGAAGCAGGTTCCAGTGATCGAACCTGCTTCTTCTCAATCTACGCACATACCTGGAATGCGAACCTTTGCCTCAATTCGTAGGTGGCATCTTTCGAAATACAGTCGGATAAAATTGTCCTATTCCTAGAGTTCCAACACTACGTTCCTGAAGGCCTTATGACTTAGTAAATGATGCCTTCTGGTTTCAGTAGTAAATGTTACTGATGGATCTACAACTTGGGTCTAAGATGAAGTCAGGCAGTAGTGCGATTACAAGTGAAGGTTGAGCGAACGTGACGCCAAATGCAATTAGGACCCTCAATTATGAACGCAGGTCTCCATACATATACACCGCTGCTTTTGAAACTTTTCCCAAATCTTGACCGTTTAGCAGAATGCCAAACTCCCAAATTTGGCATTCATCACTGGCAATCTAGTAAGTTGGGGTGGTCGTCTATCGCATACAGGAGGAGCGGCGAACGGCCGTTACTTTTAATCGGATACATATGATTGCTGATGGTATTTGGAACTTCTGGCAGAAAAAACTGATGTTTTACTTTTGACACAGAAGTTCACTGCTCGCTTTGATACACACAAACACCTTACTGCTCTTCGAGAATGTTAGTAAAACTAACAGCATTTTCATGGAATGAAAAACGCAGGTACTTTAAAATTCAAGCAACTGAATTAGTCCCTGATTTACCTTGAAGAAGTTGGTCTGACAGGCCTGTATGAGACGAGGGAGGAGGATGGTGGGTGGGGACGCGACGGTGGCAGCATTGGTCTTTGCTGCTAAAGACGTGGTTTGCTTGTTGTGCTTCTCTCGCACACAAAAGATGGCGTGGTAGGGCTGTCCGTGGAAGACCGGATCATGATCGTTTATGTCCTCCAGAAAAAGTCGCACGAGGCCTATGCCGACGCTGTTACTTGAGCGTTCACGGGCTAGTACGCGAAGGGTTATGTTTTGACCCTCCTTCTCTCGATCCAATTGACCCTCTCCCGTAGCAAAGAGGGCACCGGTCGCCGGTTCTATCGTTAGTCCAGGCACTGGATTGAGTACCTCGAAACTGTGCAAGGAAAGAACGGAAGGATAATGAGTTAGCAATGGTTTCTATGAGCAGAGTGGTGAGAAGTCGGGCAGCAAAAACATGGATCTTTACGCAGCATACGCAAAATCTGTGTGCGACCACGGGCAAAATCTACCGTTCTGAAGGCAAAATTTACGGGTGCTGACTACACTACTTTTCGCAGACAATTTGACTCTCTGGCAGAAAAAACTAAATTATAATTCTTTTCTTGCAGCGCAGGTGCTATGAGGAGCAAACTTCTGCATGATGTTGCAACCAAAATAAAGACCCTGACATCGCAAGTGATCTCCAACAACAGAGGATAAAATTAGAACACTTTACATATCTATATATATATATTTTAGCAAAGAATCTCCTGCAAAGAGAGGGCAGAAAATAAATAATAGCTCTAATGTGCACGCGCCTGGCCTGCCAGAAAGCCAGGTACGCAGTCGACCGTATCTGGTTGTGTGAACATACTTCCATCACAATCTGAAATTGCGTAAACTGCCTTTCATTAGCGAGTATTAGCAGAGGGCATAGTACGCAGTGGAGAGGCTTTCATGACCGGCTTCAAAAGGAGCCAGAAAAGGGTAAAGAGTGAATTAGTTAGAAATGCTGAGGGTAAAATGATGTAGAAATAAAGGTGAAAGCAAAAACTCGTAAAAACTTTTTTTCTACGGGCGGGAAATACCGAGGTGTGGTGCAAAACAAACAAGCACCCTCGACAGGCGGAACAGATCACCACTTATTCGAATGAAAAAGATGGTTAGGCAGGGTTATAACTATCCCTTCCACTCTGGGGCAGCACTCGCTAGATCGGCAAGCTATTTAACTTGAGATGCGGTTGACTAAGGTAAAGAAATTTTTTTAATTGCATAAGCTCATATGTTGGCAGGTAGGTTGATGACTTATAAATTTGAATAAACAATGACAGGTTCAATCTTAAAAGTGGAGTTATTTGATAAGATGGAACCAACAGGGACAAGGAGTGACTATTTCAGACTTATTAGACGTCGTCAGCCCGTATAGTAAGATAAATTTTCCTTCGTCGAGATTCTTTATCGGTAGTTCTCGTGTTGGATTACGACTTTCAGGTCGTCCTTGAAAGGGTAGTGATGACTTTATGGTTTCCAGTTTTCAATCCATTGCCTACGAATGTAAATTTTGTTTTCAAATGTTTATTTAAACCCGCAAAATAAGACATCGCTCATGAATTTATATTACTCTCTTCTCAAATAAAAACCCACGTGGATGCGCAAAGTTACTCTAGGATAACTATCAGCATAGGAAATCGCCCAATTACAAGACAACATAGAATTCTGTTCAAATTATTCATTTTGTCTAACAATATTTATAAATATTTCCCGCATGAAAAAAATTCCGGAGTAAACTAGACGAATTAATCAAATATGCGGCATTCTAGTTGCTGACAATTGATTGTCTCAAGTTCCTTCATCACGTTACATGAGATTCGTCGCATACTGTGTGCGTGCGTATGCCACTCGTAGATGAAATCTTTTGTGTCATGCCAGGCACTGCATTCAACGTCAGCTTGGACTCCGGCGGGGACCCCTGATCCAACAAAGGCTACCAACCAACCAACCATCAACGTCAGCGAAAATGTTCGGACAGTCCACCAATGTGTCTGAGGGAGGGGGAATGAAAAGCGGGTAAAACTGACCTCGTGAGTTTAGGTACACTGATCATCCCCACATTAGACAACTGACCGGTTCGGAGGGGGGAGAGAGTGAGGTAGACGGCTCAGCGCATTTTCCTCAGTATAAACAATCTGACGCGCTTGAAGCTGCCACCATGTGCTAAAAGCCGTAGATTGGAAAGTTGCCAACTCGGACCGCAAGATCAGTCCAGTGTGTTTTTTTATTGTGGTGGAATGAGAGTCAGGCTGCAATGGCACCTTCTTAATGTAGCCTTTATGATACTCCCACGCAGCTGGGATCCGATATAGGTGTGGCGGCACGCGTAGGGGCGGCCTTCTTGATTTTGTCTTGATGACGGCTGAGGAATAGAGGGTGCTATTGATGCAACACAAGTCTACTACCACTTAAAAGTAATTCATGCGTGAGTCACCGCGGTTGCCCTCCAGCTTGCTGAAATCGACGGTGGAACTGTCAGGTATACAAATGTTAATTTTTCAAAATAAACGAGGATCATATAGGAAAACAATATGAGGTAGGAGAAAGATGGCAAGAATAAACAAAGGGCCGATCAGCGACCAGGTGGCAGAAATTGGAGGGGTTGAAGCTTCTAGTGATTCTGCTAGTTTTTCTGCTGTTACTTAAAGGTCATTAAATATGAAGGAAACCAGGAAAGACTAGGTGATGTAGTCCACCATTATATCGAAAAAAGATATTGATTTCAGTACACTGCATGCCATACCGGCGCTGGTCACCTACGGGAGTGTGGACGTTGTTGTCATTTCGTGCGCAAGACATTTAGTGTATTCAGAAATTGGGTACATGGACCCTAGAATATCCTTTACCGCCGAGAACGACAGCACTGGGGTGCCTGGAGAAAAAAAGCAGCGACAACACAGTCAGTAGTCCCAACATAAAAGATGGTTTACTCACTAGTAGGTCTCCGTGGGGGGTGCGTTGCGGACGTACAAATAACCCAGGTAGTGTGGTGTTGAACTGTTGAAATGTTCTACCAACGAGATGTTGAGACCGTTCTCTGGTTCGATGACCAGCCGCTTAGTCGACGGCGAACGTAAAAACACAGAGACATTGTGGAGGGTGATGTGAACGGCGTTCCGATCGGTGGCCTCGATTTGCAGTTGAAACTGACGTTCTTCGGGATTCGTCGAAGTAGCTAGAGACTCGCTGACAAGAAGCTGACCGGTGCTGGGCTCCATCTGGAAGTAACCAGCTGTATTCCCAGAAGAAATCCGATAGGACACCTAGAATGAGGGGATACGAAACAATGTGAAAGTGCTCCTTAAGAATGATGTTTACAGAGGGAAAGTCTAACTTGTCTACTCTGCGGAATTGCCGTTCGCATAAACATAATGGCCAAAAAACGGGTTAGAATCTCCTGAAATTGCGGTGATTCCGGCTCCAATGTATAACGCAATTGAAGGCTAGATCATAGTTTTTGGAGAATGTAGGGTCCAAACGTCGAGTCCCACAACGTACAAGTTATGTCATATGAGGGCTCACTAACGATGGTGTGGTCATCCTGAACAGGGATGATGACAATGAACAACATTGGGAAAATGTAGAAGACGAGGAATGAGGAG